CCACACACAACCCCTCCCCCAAAAGAACAGTAACCATACTTAACACTCAAGAGTACTTGTTTACGTTGTGCTAGGCTCTGTTCTCAGTACACACAAAAGCTTTTTTGATCCTTACACCACCACTCTCCTGTGATAAATACAATTACAAGGCCACTTTGCCAATGAGCACCAGAAATACAAAGAGTAATTCCCAGGTCAAACAATCAGTGAACATCAGAACCAGCTCTCAAACCCACATCTTTTTACACTGGTGTCCATGATCTTGACCTGTCCACTATATCAAGAAGAACAGATAATGCTTTACAGAATTTTCAAGGTCTAGAGAATGCAGATCTTCAAATGAAAACACATTTGTAACTGCAAATACTGAGAATATGTAAGAAAGGAGCACAAGAAAAAAGTGAGAGGAAAGAATAACATTTCAAAGGCTCTTCTTGCAGGCTAAGAAATGCTGTGATTTCCTCTGGGGATTCTCATCTCACCTCAATGACAGTTATAAAATTCAAAAAGACAATTTGGCTAAGATGATCATGAGAAGGGGTGGAGGAGATAGCTCAAAGGGCTAATGCACGTGCTCAGGGGGCCATGTGGTTTCAGGGATTGAATCCAGAGCATGTGCGGAGCAGAACCCCTGGCCAAAATGTGGGGAAAACTAAAGCTGGATTGTTCTGGAAAGTGATATATCCTTAACCCTTGGCACAAGGACTTGCCATTCTGGTGGTTGTTCTGTTTTGGGGACATACCCGGGCTCAGGGCTTAATCTTGGTTGGCTCAGGCACCCTATGTGGTGCCAGGGAAGTAACCTAGGTCAGTCACATACAAGGCAAAAGTATTACCTACTACTATCCCTCCAGCCCCTTGATGGCCTTTCTTACTGGTAATTTATTAGAACAAGATGTAAGGGATCTGGAAAATGCAAGCCTTTCTCCTATTCTGTCTTAACTAAGAAAGACCAACTGAGATCAAGTGCTCTTCACAAATGAAAGCAAACACCTCCATATCAACGGACTTCAATCAAGACATCCACTGTGGGTGGCTATAAACCCTTAAACTCTGTCCCACTGCTTTGTCTTACTTTTTTAATGGCAGTGTTTCTTTTTCCAATAAAGATTAACGCCAAACTTCAGGAAATTCCACACACAAAATAAACCAAAACACACTTTTAAAGGCTTGACTCTTCATAGACCTGAAAACCGACTAAAATAGTGATTTAAAGGACAAAAACATGAAAGCAGAAAATAACAATTTCTAGAGCAAAATTTCCTTTTTATCTTAATATTTCCTCCTTTTTAGGGGAGGATACACCCAGTGGTGCTCAGAGCTTATTCGTGGTGGTGCTTGAAGGACTCTAGGGGTGCTGGGACGTGGGTCACCCATGTGCAAGGCAAACACTCTACCCACTGTTCTATCACTCTGGCCCCTTATCTTAATGTTTTAAACTCTGACTTTATTACCCTGCTTGACCAATTACAGTTCTACCTACTTTTTAGTGTTAAAGAAAACATAGAAGAAAGTCTTTCTTCTGAATTCTACAGAGAGAAGTTGTCTTTCTGTAGAAAATCTTGTATCTGTGATTGTTATTATTTATATTATTTTACATCTTCAGTTTTTGTATGAAGCATGATTCATAAGCATAGGATTATATCTGAAGGTAGTATGACAGATTAGCTCCTAATTCTGTCACTTCACTATATTAAGGTTAATAACTATTTAGGGGATAGAGCAAGAGAAGGCAGGTGTTCATAAGATCACCATTAATCTAGATAGAAGAACAACATCATTTTCAGGTCCAATAAATTAACTACTTTTTGTAGTTCATTGTTCAGAATCATAAAAAGAATAATTCTTGGTGTGATACTGCCAAAACTATGTCTCCTGCTTCATCATCTTAATGTTACCATTTCATATTAGGTTTTATGTTCTAACAGGTTCTAATTGATAATGGTTCCATATTAAAGCTATATAGGTAACTAAATACACAAGTTAATAATGTGATTTCCAATGAGCATTAAGCAGTACCCAGTAAGCAAATCACACATTAAGTGCTATTCTTCACAGCAAATTACACTTGAGATTAGCCTGGATATACTTAAAGTTATAAAGTATGAGAAGTCTGAACATTAAAAACAACAATCTAAAAAAAAAACAAAACAAAAAACAACAGTCGAAAAGTTAGAAATGAGCTTTACAAGTAACTTACAAAACACTATATCATAGTCCTTTCTATTGTCATGAGATTTTAAATGAAAACTGGAAACTACATTAATGTGACATTCTTCGGAAATAGCTTTTTATCCCTTTCCTTAAGACAGCTGTAGATAGTACTGACTTTGGTTGTTAATTGCCATATGAGAACTCATTCATTCATGTAGTTAATTAATAAAACAAAACGGTCCTTTTGTGGTTTATATAGAAATAAGACACCAAATATGTTACAAATAATGGTTTTAAAAGTATGCCTTTCAGCTGGAGTAGAGAAAGGATCACTAAGTCAATGAGGGTTGGAGAGATCATTTGGGATAGAAGATGTGTGCTGAAAGTAATAAAGGACCAAACGTGATAAACTCTCAGTACCTATATTGCATAATATTGCATAATGCCCAAGTAGAGAGAGTATGGGGGAAATTGACTACCATAGATGCAGGGGGAAAGGTTGGGATAAGGAGCAGGGGGAGACAGGGGATATTGATGGTGGAAAATGTGCACTGGTGGAAGGATGGGTGTTTGATCATTGTATGACTGAAACTCAAACATGAAAGCTTTGTAACTGTATCTCACGGTGATTCAACTAAAAAAAAAGTATGCCTTCAAATTAAGATTGTGGCGTGCACCACAAAAATAGCAAGTGAGTTTTCCTTTTTTTTTAGTACAAAGGCATCATCACATTTTATCCTGACATATAAGAAACAGGATGCATATTTATGTAAAATATCATAAAATATGACATTTTTTACTAACACAATGATTTTGATATACTCTATCCCAGGAAGAGAAAAGAAAAAGTATTACAAGAGTTTCAATTTGTATTAACTTCAAAGTTGGTGATTATTTCACAAAAATAGACTTTTATCTTTCCTTAAAAAAAGTAGAGTATAAAATTTCATAAACGTAAAATATTTAGGGATAGTGAGAAGTTGAGAAATCACCTGCAAATTACTTTCAGACCTTTGAAAAACAATCTAATTTGAATCACCAGTCTAAATAGGTCATTTCACTTAGAAAAATTAAAATTAGCTTACAGGGTCAATTCTTTTTCTAAAACATCTGCATCCTCCATGTCCTAGCATCTTCAAAGTCAAACCAGAGCCAGGTGTGAAGAACTACTAGAATCACAAATTTATTTCAAATCTCAAAGTTAATGCACTTGTGAAATGTCTACAAAAGTGAACATAAAGAGATAGAGAGTGGCTTGTCTTAAGAACTGGGGGTGTAGGTTAAAAAAAAGAACAAAAAGCTGAGAATGCTCACATTTCAGGAGACTTTGTGAGGAGGTGACTCTACACTGATGCTCATTTCTTGCCTTTTACACGCCATGTTCATAGTACAAGGCAAGTCAAAATAGCTGGGATACAAAGGACATACTTCCATACAAGTTGAGTTTCCCACAGCTTCTCTTTATCCAGCTACATACACACAGTCATGAGCCATGACACTTGTGCAACACCTTTAAGGACTTAATCATACTGCACCAGGCTGGTAAACTGGGATCAAAAACCTATCCTCCAGAAAACCTAGCAAAGGAGTAATTAGAAAACCTTGATGGTAACATCTTAGGGCAATGAAAATCCAAACACACTTGAAAAACGTTGGCTGTCTGAGACATTGCATGCCCCCACTAAATGACCCATACAATCAGATAGACCCCAATAATTTTGAAACAGGAGGGTATAAAAGTGACTGGAGATGAAATGTGTCTTAGGACGGGAGGGAACTTAAGGAGGCTAGCAGAGAGAGAGAAGTGGCCACATGGGAGCCAGAAAAAACAGGCAGTTTTGCTCCAAGACTCTGCAGAACCCCATCCTTCTGAGCTAAAACTTTGGAAGCTGGGGAGTGGGGTACTTTGATATTGAGCAACCGTGAAAACAGATCATGGGCAAAGAGTGATGATAAGATGCTAATGTAGTCTGGGTTTTTCTGCTCTGCCCAGCTCCCAGAATGAGATCTTGACATCTTGCTTCCCTCGAGACCTCTCTCGGTAGAAAGACAGAATAGACGGACCTTTGCTCTGGACAGGAAAGCTCCTTTGAAGACTTGACAATAGGGCAATTGCTAAGGAATCTTTATATATATAATTTTTTCCTTAAAAGGGTGAATGAAACCCAAGACAGAATTAAGTCTCGCTTTAATTTTTTTCCTTAAAAGGGTCAATGAAACCCAAGACAGAATTAAGTCTCGCTTTCCAGAAGGGTAATAAACATGTTATAAGTGCCGGGATAGAGAGAAACAAACACACACACACAACACCACACATACACATACGGACCCCAGTCACCCTGCAGCAGCAGGGGCAGAAACGACCCAAGAGACGGACTCTAGTCACAACCGCCATGCCAAAGCCGATTTGTGCCTCTTAGTGCAAAGTCGTCCCCCTCACCTCCCAAACACACACAACACACACACACACACACACACACACACACACACACACACACACCCTTCGAGGTCCTTTGCACGCTCGGCACAGCTGCCGCCCAATCTCCAGCGCGCCCCTCTGGGTCTCGTCCTAGACACTGGGGAGGCTCTGGAAAGCCTCGGGATGGTGCGCACGTGCCAGGGCTGGGGAACCCCGGGGGTTCCGGGCCTTCCAGGGCTCCCGTCCCCCAATGCACACACACTCGCCCCCTCCCGGCCCGAGAGGATGAAGTTGCTGGGCACCCCGCGGCGTGCGCGGCCCGGGTCCCTCCCACTCCCGCCCCTCCCGGGCTCGGGCGCCCGGGGGTCCCCCAGTCCCCAGCTCCAGCGCAAACCCCGCGCCTCCGTGGAGGTGAGCGCGTACTCACCGGAGGTGAGCTGCATCCAGGCACAGATCTTGTACACGGTGGCCGTGTTGCAGAAGAAGAAGAGGGTGAAGCAGACGATGCAGGCGATGATGAGCATCATGGAGAGGCCGATGAAGAAGGAGGCGGCTTTGAAGGCGCCCGAGGGCAGCGTGGAGAAGTCCGTGAAGCTGCCCCTGCAGGTCAGCTCCCGGGAGAAGCCGTTGCCGATGCAGTAGTGGAAGAGCCCGAAATAGCCGGCTTGCGGAGTGTCCACGCCGTCGCCAATCCAGTAGGGCTGGATGAAGCACACCACGTTGACGATGGCAAAGCAGATGGTGAAGATGGCCCACAGCACGCCGATGGCCCGCGAGTTCCGCACATAGTTGGTGTGGTAGAGCTTGGCAGCCTCCTGAGCCGGGAGCATCGCGGCGGCGGCAGCGGCCGAGGCTCCGGGCATTCTCCCCCTCCTGCTCCTGCTCCTGCTCGGGCTCAGGCTCGGGCTCCTGCTCCTCCTGCTCCGGCTCGTCCTCCGCCTCCCCCCTCCCCGCTCTCGGCGCCCGGGAGACACACTCACCGAGCGGCGCGCGCTGCAACTCCGCTGCCTCCGCCTTCAGCCCAGCAGCGCCAGTTTCAGACTCTGCATCGTCGCTCCCGGAAAGAGGGCGGGGGCGGGGGGCGCCGTGCACCCCCTCGAGCTGCCACGCACGGCCTCCCGGGCCTCCTCCTCCTCCTCCTCCTCCTCCTCCTCCTCTTCCTCCTCCTCCTCCTCCTCCTCCTGCTCTTGCTCCCGCCCGCCCGTCCGCCCTCCTCGGGCCCCTCTGGCCACCGCAGCTGCAGCCCGGGCAGCGGATCCCGCGCGGGGCAGCGGCGTGGCGCGCGTGCTCTGGCGCCCCCACGCCCCCGACACCGCTTCCCGCCTCGCGCGGCCCGCGCCCCGCCCGCGCCGCAGCCCGGCCTGCTGCCACCCGCCGGGTGCCCCTCCTGCTGGGCCCTGCGTGCCCTGGGGAAGCGGTCCTGGAGTTTGGGGATAGAGTGGGAGGGACCTCTCCGGGGAGCCAGCGCGGGAGGCGGGTTCCCGGAGCTTGGGGGGACCGAGCCGCACAGACACGTGTTTCGACCTCTGCGTCTCGGCCCGAGGCGCGAGGGGATGTGTGGGCAGCACCTGATGAGGAGCAGTGGCCACCGGGAGACTTGCTCGGGGCAGCCTTCGAGCCACCCTGCCTGGGCCCTCCTCTCCGCCCGCCCCCGCCCCCCAACTCTCTGCTTACCTAGGCTCAGCCAGGTGGGGAAAGAAGTTGCAAAAGGGTACCCAGTACCACCAGGACGTGAGCGATTCACGGCCCTGGTGGCCTGGTGTGGGCTGGGGTGGCCCAGTGGCTCATTTAATTACTTGCTCCGGGGGACGAGTTGCTTCTTCACCTTTGCCTTAAGGAGGGTGAGCCTGATTGAACAGGGCGAGAAGTCAATGGCCAGTAAGTGTCCTTAAGCCCTTTATCCTCAAACTCCAGAGACCGGGCCAGAGATGGGATCCATGGGGCATGGGAGTGACCGGATGGCAGAACTGCAGTGTCTACCCAAAACCTGGCTCGTTTGGCCTCATTATGGTAGTTACACACATCTATGGCCCGAGCACTGTGCTGGGTGCAGAGGAAACAATGAGGATCTCGGCAACGTAGTTCAGGTATCTTGCAACTGCTCCAATAACCAGGGTTATTTTCAAAGTAACCCACTTCCCCCCCCCACACACACCAAAAATTATTTGTCCGTTGAATTCTTTTTGTTTTCATGGGGCATTGCTATTTCACATGCACCCTTTGTACTGTCCCTTTACCTTACTGGTTTCCAATTTTTGTCTGGTCGCTCTTCTAACAAAACACACCTTTCAAACTCCAATCTTTATTTGTATTGATTGCTTTGCAGGGGTGGAGGTCCTGCTGAATCTGAAGCATAAAGAAATATGTACTCCATTCCCTCAAACACAGCAACAGATTTAGGCAACTGACCATCCTAAACTATATGATAATCACTGAATTACTAGGCATTTGAAAACAGAATTCTGGGGCCAGAGCGAACGTACAACGGTAGGGCATTTGCCTTGCACAGTCGTCCCTAGTTCTATCCCCAACACTCCATATGGTCCTCTCTCCATCCAACCTCCTCTGACCTGCCAGGAGAGATCCCTGAACACAGAGCCCGGAGTAAGCCCTGAACACCACGTGTAGCCCCAAAACAAAACAAAACAGAACAAAAAAAAAAGCGAACTCTGCTAAATTTTCAACCCTGAGTTCGTGTTTAGTTAGATCCTTATTATAATGCAAAGGCATGAATGGCCCCTCTTGACACCCATCTTTTCATTTTACCCCGTCAGCCCACCATCTTCCAAGTGCAATGGAAAACTTGATATGCTGGGTGAAATATGAAAATCCCAAGAAAGGATAAGAAAGTTTAGAATGGTTTCTGGAGAGGATGTCTGCAAAGGTATTTGCTGCATATGTGGCAATTAATATGCGAGAGAGGTCATGCTCTATGATTAAGACTTCATCTGTGAATCTGAAGATTTGAGATTATATAAGGGAGCATGGAATTGGAATGGGGGGCACACAAAATAAGGACCACTAGTGAAACTGGGAATAAATTTTCAAAAGTGCTGACATGTGGTTTTTGTTTCCCATATATTTGAAATTCAGGTGTTACAGTTGAGGAACAAAGACAGAATTTAGGAAGTTAAAAAGACAAAATGAAACAGCATGAGATGTGCAAATTTAAGTGATAAAAAATTCTTATTGATAAAGTTGGAGACTCAAAAAAATTCTTTTAAAAATCAGAAGGAGGACCAGGGAGAGGTACCCAAGTCTGTGGTGCATCTTAAATGCACGAGGCTCCAAGTTGGATTCCCCAGGACCATGTGCCCCGACCACGGGTGTCAGTAGATGTGGATGTGGGGCTCCAACATTGCTGGACCCAGGCCACCCTGAGCACTATTTAGGAGGCAAAAGTAAAGAGGGAATTGAGGAGTGTGTGTTGGGGGTGGGGGAGTGGATGACCTGAATATGAGCCAGCCCAATATAACACTTGCAAGTCTCTAAAAATAGAATATGTGATGATGCATCATCAGTGCATTGGTGGCATTGAAAGGTCAGAAATTCTGTTACATTTTGTTTGTCTGAACTTCCAAGTGTTTGGTAAATCAGAAAAATCAGAAGAGTTTAAGGAAAAAGAGGAAAGGTGAGGGTAGTTGGATTTATAGGGGCCATCATGCAAGGCAGTGTCTGAAAAGCAGGGAGGGGTACCTTAACAGCAAGAATTGACAGTTATTTCTACTGTCTCTCCCAAGTTCTCAAAAGACCTATAACCCCAGTCCTTTGTCTGAAGTGATCTTAAAAATCAATGCTGGGAAGCTGTCTTGCCACTTCTCATGGATGGTAAAGAGGAAAGGTTGTGGAGAGGGGAAGACTGAGAGTCCAAAAGGCCTGGTTTAAACCCCAGTGATTAAACACCATTTACAGGACAAAGAAGAGTAGCCAGTGACTCAGCTTAACTAACCTGTTGTGGTTCAAAGAGCTTTTCTATTTGAGTCATGCTCAGGAGAGCCTTTTTCTTATTCCAGGTTTGCAATTGCCTTTGGGTTTCTGCTCGGAATCTCTACACCCGACCCTAGGTGTCCACTCTTGCCAACAGCCAGAAACAGAATAGTACTGGTGTATTGCTGAATTAAATTCGAGCTGGTATTCCTTGAGGTTTGTGGTTACTCTGTAATGAATTTAAGAATGCTGCCAATGGCCAGCCCCCAGTTTTAGTCTGTTCTGCAACACAACAGATATTCAGGAAAATATTCCAAGACTTCTCCAACTCAGGATGACCTAACCTGTCATCAACAAAGACAGTTCTAAACTTCCCAAATCCTTTCAAAACCTTCTCCTAACCTTGCCATTGGCAACAATCCCATAGGTCCTTAATTTAAAACTTCTGTCTAGCATATCTATAGTCTCTAGGAATTCAGGCAGTTAAGCATTTAAGTAATTTAGAACATTCATCAAATACAATGTCATCAAGAAAGCTGGTATGGGGAAGAGGAAATAATAAAATTAGCCCGATTCATGTTAAGAAGTTACTATTGATAGAAAAGTATTTTGAAACTATAATATGATTCATATGTGCTAAACAACTAGAAGAAGTTGGTGTCATTGACAGGATGGAATTAGAAACACTGAACACTCAAAGCTTCCCTCTTGAAAAATCTATTTTTTTTTCTGCCACAAAGGGTCAGTAGTGAGACCCATTCTTTCCCCAAATTATGTTAGTGAACATTCAAAATGAAGGAAAAGCCATTGAACTGTGTAACCCTACACACTAAACACTATAAAAGATTCTAGGTGAGTTAGTGAACTAAATGTTTTGATCCCAAATTAATCTGTCATAATATGGTCACAGTCTGGAGTGATAGCACAGCGATTAGGGCGTTTGCCTTGCTTGCGGCCGACTGGGATTCGACTCCTCTGTCCCTCTCAGAGAGCCCGGCAAGCTACCGAGAGTATCCTGCTCATATGGCAGAGCATGGCAAGCTCCCCATGATGTATTGGATATGCCAAAAACAGTACCAACTAGTCTCACAATGGAGATGTTACTGATGCCCACTTGAGCACATCAGATGAACAACGGGAGGACAGTGCTACGGTGCTGCAGTAAGTGTGAAAGACTCTAAGGTGAAAGGACTTGAGGGTCCACCCCTAGGACTATCTCTGCCTGAGACACTTGGTGAATGAGTGGGAGGGGAGGATTGGGGGATTTTATTTCCACACCTCTAGTATTCGTATGAGGGAGAGGAGGCATCAGATGAATTCTAAGGTCCCTTCCTGAAATAAAATTCTGTTATCCAAATACTATTCCAAGATGATATTACAAAAAAGATAAAATCCAGAACTTTAAAATGAGGTGAGATCTAACAAGAGATATAAAACTGATGAAACAGATATTTTATTTAAAATTGAGAATCCCTTCTGAAATTCTATTGTTTTCATTTTTGTCAGGCAATGAGTACTTAGTATTTTCACATGAGTCATTGCTTTGACCTTGGGAAATGGAGAAAGAGATGATTTCTAAAACCTCTATACTGATTTCTGAGGTCATTATGAACATCAAAGTCAGACCCCTCTCCAGAGCATAAACATTCAAATAATGAAGCTCTGAGCTCTCTCCAAGGATCTCCTTCAGTCCTCCCCTCACCTTAGTTTTCTTTCAGTGCTATTTAGAAATCAGGAACAACCTCTTCATCAGTCACTAGGTAAGTGATGGCAATCAGATGAATTGAGTTTATCGTCCCCTGCAAATCAAGATCAAATTGGTCACAAGACTCTGACTTCACTGCAGCGTAATCTCTACCACTTTGCAGTGAGATGTGAGCGCCTCACTTGGAGAGAAATGGGAACTAGACAATGACTTTTCAGTCATTCTTTCTTTTCCTGAACTTTGAGTTGGATTCTGTGTGAAAATACCACTTCTATATGTTCTTTTTCCTTCTTCAGATCCCATTTGAAGCATGTTGTTCTTCACCAGGCTGATCATCTCCACAGTCTGCTAGAAGAAGAATCCCTCTG